GTATGTATGTATGTATGTATGTATGTATGTATGTATGTATGTATGTAGGTATACACTATATACACTATACAGATTGGTTGAATCTACTCAGAAGGGACAGTTCCGTTCCTGCACGATGTCAACCATGTCAACAGATTTGCCGGGCTTGCAGATATTTTTGCAACAGGCATCAGCTATGGTGGCCGGTGTTGACCAATTGAGTTACAAACCAGTAGGAAACCCTGTGGCTGTGGACTTAAGTGACTTACATGCATAGACTTGAGGAATAGACTTTGGTGGTGCATTTCTGCTTTTGGGCCGTCACAAAATCTAAAGCGAAAAAGCTTCCATGGTGAAGACGGCCGCGGACAAGCTACCGTCTGACATGTCGTCATCTCAGGAGCTCTTGGAGACAAGTTCCTTTGAATGCAGGGAGTTGCCATCAAAGGAGAAAGAATCAGACAGGTGAGCCAGACTAGCTATGTCTTTGCTGTGGATCTATAGTGCCTCCAATGTTTGCTGAAGCACGGTGTCCAACAATGCTTGCTTGCTCACAAGGTGACTTCGTAAGTCTGCACTGCCCTTTGAATGCAGAGACCAAGCACTTGATCAACAAGGATCGAAAAAAGATAGACTCAAGTTGCTGCTGAAGAATTTACGTGGATGTTTTGATGGAATACCTACGAACTCTATGCAGAATCTGTTGGATTGAAGCCTCAGCCTCCCTCTATCCCACCATCACCAGCATCTTCTAGAAAAGACTGCTTCATGCGAAGCTCAAGCAAGTATCGACTGCCCACCAACCCCTTGAATTGAAGGATACCTTGAAGCTCATGAAGCCAACTGCCTACCTCATCAACACAGGCCAGGCAGACGTGAGCAGGAATCCTTGGAACATCATGGTGCATGTCAGGGAGTGAACCATCGTAATCCTCCAGTACCTTCCAAAGATAATGGAATATGATGGATGTTAAGGCCATGAAGCTGGCCATTGAATGCCTTTGAGGTGAAACCCTACAGGATGTTCAGTAAACAATTGCAACATCTTGGTTTTCCATTTGGAGACTTCAGCCTGGCGTGAAAGGTCGCGGCTCCCTCATCAAGGACAGCCTGCATCCGGCTGGCATGCATTTGTTGGACATTAGAACTAAATCTGTAAGAGTGAGCTTGAAAGGGGGGTGAGTGAGCTTGATGGCTTCGGAGTTTTTGCAGTCTTGGCAAAGGCAAAGGCACGAAGCTTTCGTGCCAGATTGGTGCCTTATACATCCATGTTCGACTGTTCCGTGCGCCATCTCTTGCCACTTGGGGCTAGTTGCATACACATGCAGTGCAGGTTTGGTCTGTGAACACGTCGTGCGCGATGGCCTCACCAGACTCGGTGGACTCGTTCGAGTCGTTCGAGTCTCCTCGTCTGGTCTCGTTCGACCGATGGGGAAGGCCCAGGAAGGCCATTGGATGAGGAGCCTGATTTGATTGAGGCGCTGGAGCAGAAGGCCATTGCAGGCCTTCGGGCAGTTTTGCCAAACGTTTATGGATGAGATGATTAGAGGATGATATGAGTGAAGATTGTGGCGACCAAGTTGTGTTTGTGAAGAGCGAATGGAGTAGGAGGCCCAGAATCTTTGGATGAACATATAGTAGTACGTAATGAAAGCAGCATCATTAGCAAGAAGAGCGACAGGATGCAAACCATAATCAAACCCTGCAACACGACAGTCCAACAGGCCCTCGCAGTCACAGAATGGTGGTCGAAGCTTTGGATGATGACATGAGAAGACAATCTTTGGATGTGGACTTGAGCAAATAGTTTTGGATGAGGCTCATACAGATACTGATACTGTGTTATACATGCTGCCCTCCTGCTCCTCCAAACTACCTGCAACTGGGGGATGCTGGAGATCAACGTCTTTAGTTGGAAACGAACAGAAGACTGAAGAACATCCTTCCTACAGTTCACGTAGTGTTTTCCAACACTGCTCCTGCCGACATGTTTGTCTCTTGGCCGAATTTCAGGTGCAGGTTTGGATGTGCAAGAGACAGAGCCACCACCGGAGGATAGTCCCCTCTACACCCTGGAGAATGCTTGGAGCTGAAACAAGTCCTTTTGCGACCGAGTTGTTTTGTAGCCAAATGCACAAGCAGCTTCAATGAATAAATATGCTCCATCATGCTTCTGTGGCAAGCCGGCAGCCAACCTCCCAGGATTGTCCAAGACGGCACTGAGGTCATTCTGACACCGCACATTGGCTGGAAGCGATTGGAGACTAGGCCAGGCCTCATGAGGCAAATTCTCACGAAAGAATGTTACTCACCTGTCTTGATGTGGCGCCGCGACCAGAAATTCTTCCGTGAAAAAAGTTTCAGAAAATCAGCTGAGGCCCTGTAAAGGGTGTTTGTAGTGCTGTGGGCGGGCACCGTAGCGTTTGAATCATTTGATTTCATTTCAGTGGTTTGAAGATTTCAGAGCCACTGTGACCCATTTCTTTGATGGATTGAATGTATTGATTGTTAAAAATAGAGAACACAAGTGCTTTCTATTTTCCGTTGTAGGCAACGGCTCATGGACATCGTGGCCGCAAACTTGACGGCCTTTTTGGCAGGGAAGCCAGTCGGGAGTCCAACACGACCACTCGGGAGCTCCGTGTGCGCGCACGGACTCTTTGGAGTTGGGCATCCCAAAAGGGGCGCCAAATGCCGCAGATGAGGATGGTCTTTGGATTATTTGATTAAAGGGATATGAAAGACAGGACGGGCTTTTTGGATGGACAAGAGATGGCTGACGCAAAGAATTGTGTAGGTTTCGGTGTTGAAGGAGTTTCTGCCCCCAGACGGCCAGCTAAGAAGCTTCCGACAACCAGCCTCAAGAGTGATAAAAGCATTCTTTTGGCACTGGAGTTTAGGTTTGAGATGGTTTGAGGGAGGCATGCACCATGGAAAGTTTTGTATGGTACTTTTGATGAGTGCTGCCAACGACTGTACTGTACGTTTTAAGTGTCCCCAGAAAGGTATCATGTCACTCAAGCAGCTTGTCTCACTAATCGCCCAAGGTGAATGTCGTTCAATCCTGAGCGTATGCATTTGGGCCAGAAGTACCTGCAGCTTTATGTGCTTCGTCCAGCCAGCGGCAGGATGTGCGCGAATTGTTTCACCTACCAAAGGTCAGATGGTATTTACTGATTCTATAAATATGCTTCCATCAGAGCATACCGGAGCTATGGGCAGCGCTATAGGTCTTTTGATGCGTTGCGCGATGCTTTAGCCTCCTGTTTAACTGTGCAAATAATTTCAAATATGTGATTGCTGCAAGTCAAGAATGTGCAAGAGGTTTCACATGAAGTCCCTACAGTCCAGGCACATCCTGTCCATAGAACGGACAGAATTTTCGCAGTTTTCGACAATTTTCATCAGAGATGCTATTGGCTGCAGACTGCCTGCCTAGCAAAAGGACTGCTGCTAGACAAGTTGACTCATTCTGTTGCTTTCTGCACAGCGGGCCGTCGCTAGACTGTGGGATGACAGCCGAACTAGAGTTGACTGCCGTCTCGAGGCTGCAGTCGCCTATCTCAAGAACACTTTGTTGGAGATCCTCGAGTGCTCGGGCCCTACTTTTCAGTTCAGATATTCCTCGCTGAAGATTAAATGCAGGACTCGTAGGACCTGTTTGGTTTAAAATGGGTTGTGCCATGTTGATCCATGTTGTACCATGTGTTTCTTTTGTCAATGATCATGTGGAAAGCTAGAACTACTATTCGGGCCAAACCTTTGTTTGGATAAGGGCATGAAGACTTTAAACTGTGTTGCGAGTTGAGGCTCACAATCCTGCTGTGGCCAGAACACCGTAGACGGTCCTACTGCATGACTATCAGTTGCTTGCCATGTTCCATCCACCACGCTTCAATGCGTCTTCTGCCGATCCAGGGCGGCATTGGGTGAAAATCCACAAGCACATGTTGCCCAAATTTCCACTAGGTTCAGAGGTTTGAACAGATTTGATGTTCAATCTCGATCTACTCATCACTGAGTCACTGCAAGGCCGTTGACTTTGCATCTCACGGTCTGCCGAGGCCATGATAAAGACAACGACCGTCGGCAGCTGAGGAGCTGCCGTGCAGCTGGCCCGTGTCGGAGCGGTGTTCGGCCCACAGGGTCCGAAGCTTCAACGAAGGTAAAAGCCCTCAAGAAACATGTGTGGGAGGCATGGGTGTGCCTCCAGCAATTTTTGGCTGTTCATATTTAAGCGATCCATGCGATCTCCTCCAGCCGGTGATATCCCAAAAAGAACCGGTCGCATCGACCTGAAATTCACACCCGGGATCCGCAAACATGGACAATATCAAAATAGATCATGAATACAATTAATATAGATCATGAATCATAGATCAAATTCCCAGGGCCTTTCGGCGCCTTTCGGCTTCTCCCAATTCGGCCTTTTTGGACCAAGGGCAAATCCACCGGGATGAGTTTGAATTGCTCATGCGGAACCCAGAGATGCATTTCGCTCATGCCTCAGCGACGCTGGTGTCAAAGGAAAAAAAAACACGAGCAGCGTCCTTGCTAGTAGCGATGCCCTTGTTACTTGCTGTTACTAGTAGCGACGCCAGGAGCTACTGGTAGAGGAAACATGGTACTCACAACATCAGCCTCATTAAGCTATGCAAGTGTGTTTAAAGAGGTTGGTCTTTGAGAATTTTGGCCGGATCAGCAGTGAGCACTCTGAGACACAACTCTACCACTAGGTTGAGAATGAGCCGAGGTGCTAACACGCTTTGGTGTCAATGTGGCTGATCTCCTCAACCTGAAGGATGTGCCCATCTCAGTTGAAAAGCTGAACAAGACTCACCGATTGCGACTACTTGAGACTGCGCAAGCAGTCCAGCCCTATTTTGTCCATGCCTTTGAAAACGGATGGGGCAGCTGGCTTTTAGTGGGGAGATGAAAGAAGGGAGCTCGAAATCGGCAGGTCTTTTTGATTCAATTCATGTCCATGTCATGCAACTGAGTTCGACATGTCATGTGTTTGCCCAGGTGCTTTTTGAGGACAATGCCGCTTGGCGGATTCTGCACCACTCCGCAGTCCAAAACCGGACCCTCCATACCAACAGGAACGCGGTTTCTTGATTCGAAGATGTGAACATTTCGATCAAAAACCACATCAGCACCCATGGCCACGATCCACTCCCGGTCGCCGGCCTCCTTCGAAGTTCCGTAACAAATCGTGCCAGACGGAGCAAGAAGAAGACGAGGAAGAAGATGAGGATGACACCAATTCGTTCGGACCCCAGAAAAGCAGAAGGCCATGGCCGAAGTGCAAGTCTGGGTTTTGAAGAATAGTATCAGGGTCCCAATCCACGCCTACCTACGGCTTCAGCAAAACAGTTAATCAATTTCACTGAAAACACTGCCAGAAAACCTTTGCTTGCTGTGATGTTCTGCACTCATTTTTGTAGTGGAAAGCACCTTTCGAGGGAGGCATGGATTTTCATTCACCCAGGCATGGCTTGAACACAGCACGGCGGAAGTTGCGGAAGCTGAGCTTCCAAGAATTCCTGGAGGTGCAGAGGGCTTCCAGCCGAGGAGCAGCTGTTGGATCATTGAAGTGGGCAGGATAGTTATTGAAACGTGCTGTTTGGTGTGCCAGGAGTGTCACACCGACAGGAGGATGGTGATTTTATTATGTGTTACTATGTGTTACTTCATTTCCTTGCATGCGACTCCTAAGCCATGTATTCTGAAAGAAGAAGGGACAAGGTTGAAAGGGCTGTTTGCAGCTATTGGCTATTGAGAGAGGGTCATGTGGATTGAAGTTTGGTGGGTATCCTTCGCATCTCACGCCCACTCCTGCAACTGAAATGGATCACTTTGCAGAATCTGCCGCGCAGGTGGTTTTGCGCTTGAGGGGTGGCAACAGCGCCACCGTGACAGACATCGTGGACCTGCGAGAATATGCACGGCACCGAGTTTAGATGGGCGAGCTTCGCCTCGACCTCCATGAACCTGCAAATCAATGAGACAGTTTGATGGAAAATCCCTACACTAGGAGAGATACTGTAAGAAGTACATAGAAGTACCAACCAAGCACTTTGGAGCAACGATGGGTTTGACACCTATTTGAGTGTTGTCAAGTGCTGCTTTACATGATTCCTCTTCCTTAGCAGCCTTAGCACTCCTCAACTCTGCGTAGTACAACAGCAGATCTCTTCCCAGTCAATTTGTCGATCTTGACATCAATTGGTATCCTGGAGCTGGCCCGTTCCTCCACATCCGTCCGTACAGTCCGAAAAGGAGAGTGGGCAAGGATGGACAAGGTCAGATAGGCCATCAACTCCAAAAGAAGATCCAAGAAGGACGTAACATCCTGTGGCCTGTGCATTAAGACCAGCAGGCGCTATGGCTGGTGTGAGGGCAAAAAAGAACAAAAAACACGGAAGCGAATCCCACATGGATCCATGGGTCCACCCACCTTCGTCCACGACGGTCAGGTTCGACAGCGCTTTGACCGTATGGACCTGCGGGTCCAGCATGCGGCCTCGGTCGGAGGCGACCAAAGGGTTCCTTTTGAAGGGAAAAAAACAGGTAAACCCCAACCTTGCCACCAGTAGGGAGAACCCGCGTAAGGGGACGCGTAAATAAAGACGTCCCGCATTGGTCGCGATGTTTGTTGGGGCGACCCCATGTCCACTGGTGCCAGCACCTGTGCCAGCGCCGTGCAGGTAGCCCGTCTCCCAACGGCAGATTGAGAACCATGAAGTGGGAGAGCCCAGTGCACAGAGACGGCAAGAGTTGAATTCAGAGTGCATCGCTTCTAGTAACAAGTGCCTTATTATATAGTAGTAACAATGTTTGCTAGTAGAAACAAGTGCCTTACTAGTAGTAGCAGGTGCCTTACTAGTAGTAACAAGAAGGCATTAGAAACAAGGTGCAAACACATTCACAGCGATTTCAGAGACGGCAAGAGTTGAATTCAGAGTGCATCGCTTCTAGTAACAAGTGCCTTACTAGTCGTAACAAGAAGCTAGTAGAAACAAGTGTCTTACTAGTAGTAGCGGGTGCCTTACTAGTAGTAACAGGAAGCCATTAGAAGCAAGGTGCAAACACATTCACAGCGATTTCAGAGACGGTCAACTTACAAGCAATAAAAACAAAGGCCGAAGGCCCGGTAAATTTCTCGTAAGCGTCAAGCGTGCCTTGAGAAAGGGCTCAACAAGATTGCAGGCGGTTCTAAGCTTGCTTGTTCCTTTCCTGATCTTTGTAACCAGTTGCAGTGCTTCGGGCAGATTCACACCTGTGACATGCGAGTGGGACGCATGGCTGTGTATTCTCAGCAGTCCACCACGAGTTGGGCACCCTGTCGTCGTGGTGTATGTCCGGAGTGGTGACGTCCGAGACGGACTGCAGGCAAGTCGAGTGTGGCTCCTTGCAATGCACTGCTTCTATATTCCTGACCCTGTGGGTCACTTGTGGCCAACAAGGGCAAACCATGGAAGCATCAAATCAAAGTAATCAACCACTGCCAAGGTCTTGAACACGTCTCACAAATGCGTTGTGCCACTGGGCAGAACGGAAATGGAGGCAGTCCGTAGTTGTGCTCCTTTTGGTCTGACATGTTTGATCGATTGCGTTTCAATTTTTGGGGCATGGGTGCTGCTTGTGTGTATATACAGCTTCATGTGGGCTCGGGGCTGCCAGAACTCATTTGTACAGGCTTGGCCTTATTGTGTTCGCCTTGCGACATACTGTCTTTTCCCACGTATGTGTTGTAATCTTGGTGTTCAAAGGCTGCGGACTAGTGATTTTGTGGAATTCCTTGAGGTCAATGCCTGCACGCGGTACTAGGCTGGAGCTGAGCAGTGTTCCTGGGCCATGAGATGCTCAAACATTCAAACCTTTATTCAATATTCCACTTCGTGTTGCTGCGGTTGCAGAAACACGTTCATGCTCAAACCAAGCTGCTGGCCAGCCACAGATCAAAGACATGCCACAGTGGCTGTGGAGATGAGGACTCAAAATTCCATTTTCCAGATGGCCAGCAAGTATAACTGTTTCCACAGGCATGTGCAAGTGGAAACTCCGGCCATACACGAGGAGCCTGTGAAATTCCGGGAACTGCTTCGGATTCGGATCAGAACATGCCCATCAAGTCGTGGTCGGTCG